AATTTATTCCCGAATTTTTCCCATATATTTGACCAAATTCCCGAGCTCAGCTGTGGCACTCTCCGACTCACTCTGGGCCCTCTTCAGAGGAGGTTGGCTCATCCAACCAACTGCAGGCAATGTCGGTGCTGCTTCCAATACCTCACCTCCACATCATCACAACCCCAACCATGGACTATTCGACCCACCTGGTGGCCTCGGACAACAGTCCTGCTCCTACTGCCAGCTGGTGAACTGTACCCGTATAGGGACCTGCTGATGGGCTGATGACCGCTGTACCCTGGTGGGTAGTCGCTACGTCGGGGAACTTCCTGAAATAGTAGAGATAAGATGACACCCGAGCTTAAGGAGCTTACCGGCTCCGTCATGAAGTGATACGTTGATCGAAACACGGACAAGTCCGGCACAGAAGTTCCCAAAGGGTAGTAGCTCCCGGACGCCATGCTACCAGTACTGACAGGGAAATGTGGCCAAGGTGTGGTATGAATATTGATCAACACTGCACATGAACAGGTCGTGAAACCAGGGAAGCATCCAGGCACCTATAATGTTCCCGGGAGGGGGAATCCTCCACGTACGGCCAGGAAGGCATCGTTCCACATGTAAATGTCATCACATTACGAACGTTATCAATCTCTAAATGGGTCTCTGCTCTGAAACCAACAACTACAAGCTTGAAAACCACCACAGCAAAAACCAAGCCTTCCTGGTTCCTTGGAGGGTGTGTTAAAGGGTACACCTTCATACTCGTCAACTGGATGAAATCGGACGATGCGAACTCAGAAGGATTGATACATACCACACGCCGCAGAACATACAGTTTGAATATATGGACTACTGACAGCATGCAGTCAAGGCTACACCAGGAGCAGAGTATGCGGCTATTTAGGGCTACAAAAACGAGCAAGACTGATACCACTCCTCTCGGAAATTATATCACGTGGTCGATGAAGATCCTTGTGTGGGATGATTCCACAACCTCATACTGCCGGACCTAGGCCGACTCAAGATGTGTCCTGCTTCGTATGAACACCACTGGCCATGTGGACTACTCATCTCCGTAATATTCAGTTGCCCTTTTTACGGTAGTAGTAGATCTAACTCGGTGATAGGACATCATACTCCCCCCTACATTGGTAATGATCATGACCGCATTCAGAACCACAGAGGCAACCCTACAGACCCTTCCAATGACGAGGTCAGCAAATCTATTTTCAAAGTAGACACACAAAAAGTTATTATAAATCTGTATTACATCTATATTAACAACCTGGCAAAACCGGTGAGGGACATTCCTTGACAGAAAACCTAAAGAGCAATTTAGAAGTCACCGTAGTTATACTAAAACGATGCGATGAAAACATCATTTTGGTGACCTAATCGAGTTAGGAGAGGCCCTGTTGTTGTTGTTGTTGTTGTTGATAACGCCAAGCATAGAGATTGCAAAGGTCCAGATTACCCCAGTGCTGAGTATAAGCTCCTAGTGAATACCATAACTATGCAGTATAATATCTACAACCACTAAATTGTGATGGAACTCAAGTACTATAATGACACTGAGGAAACCGAGAGGACGACAATAGATCATCAACTTAATGCTTCTCCTCCTCCTTGGAAGCCTCCTCGAAGTCGCCTTCCACCTCAGGGACCTCAGCAGCAGCCTCCTCCACCTTAGCCTTCTGCTGGGCCTCTTGGGCGAGCCTCATCTGGTTGGCGATCTCCTTGAGCATAGCAACATTCTCAGGTCCGAGCTGAGGGATGATCTCAGGCATGAGCTCATCAACAGTCTTCTCAGCAGCGTTACCACCGGAAACGACGAAGGTGTTGGCACCAATGGCTGCTTGGACTGAGGTGAAGGAGAAATTATTATTAGAAAAAACCATACCACACCTCGCCTACATTTCGGCCTCTCAAAGTGAATGATATTGGAATCAGCCTTGAACATGTTGACCTCATCTATACCTGAGCACATAAGATACAAGCCCTGCCCAGTTCCTGATGACCACCTACCAGGAATCTCGTGACATCCAAGTCGCTTAAGCATACCGAAGAGCTTCTTATCATCACTAGCAGCACTCGAGCCGCGATGGACTGCCTTTCTATTCAGACGGGCTGAACCTGAGAGTCACTATAGCGCAAATATTAGTAATGAACTCGAGTGAAAACGGCAAGTGAATTTCCCTAGGGCAACTACCTCTGCCTCCAGCTCGCTGAGCACCATCACCGAGCTTG